CTCCCCAAGTTTCTGCTGGGCAGTGAGCTGCCTTAGAGTTCTGCCACAAGGAAGGGGCGGGGCTCACGGGTCCCTGAGACCCTGAATCGTTGGATTCCTAGGCTGGGTCTTGTCCAATATAGCTGTTCTCCTGACAGCAGCTTCAGTGGGGGCAGAGACTCAACTTTCTTGTGCAGAACGTAGCACTAATGACACCTCCCTGTTCCCTGGACACGACTCTGCTTCCCCAGGGATCCACCAGCCCCTCTTGCTCAAGCCTCTTTCAAGATTTCAAATGCTTCAACACAGCTCTCTGCTTCTTGAAGGAAAAGACAAGCTCCCAGCTACCTCAGCAGGGTAACAAGAGGAGGAAAGTGAGAGGAACCTGTGTCCAGAATTCAACTCGGCTTGGGGGAGCAGAGGAGGACAGGACCCTGTCTGCGGATGAGAACCCACCAACCACCTGAGCTGGGTCAGTGGCCGAGACCCCAAGTGCTACCCGGGGTGTACAGGAAGACAAGGGGGGCAAGGGTGGGTGGAGAAGGGAGCCCCATCTTCTCCTGGGCAGGGGCTGGGAGCACAATTATAACCACGATTACCACTGCAAGCATAGGACTTAAATCCTGAAATCATAGGACATGTGGGGTTATTTTTTCCCCTCTGCGCAAGAGACTTCAAAGAGATAAGACTGAGAAATTCCAGCGTTCCAGGGAGAGAAAATGGACTTCACTCCAAGCAGGAGAGACTGCAGTTAGACCTGAGGTAGGAACGCCTGCCCATCCAAGGGGCAGCGTCTGGGTATGAACTCCAGAAGACTCCTGTACTTCTTCATCCCAGGGAGACCGGAATGCAGCAAGACCTGCCCTGGCTGGCGAGGCCCAGTCAGAAGGGCCCAGCTCTCCTCAGTCTGACCACTCCTCCTCCACAGCAAAGGTTTCAGAATGGGTGTATTTGGACTCTATGTTGATGGTAAAAATTGAAAATATCTTTGAGATCCTTTAAAAGACTAAAACTACTTTTGGATGCATTTGTGTTTCCTTTATCACAAAATCACCTACAAGCATGAAAAAATTAAATGTGTACCCCACACCATTCAAAAATCTTCTGCCCTTCCCTCTGCCCCACCTGGAAAGAAAAGTTAAACCGAACCTATTCAGACCCTGAGCACGTACAGGACACACATGGACAGGGGAGACATGCTAAACAGCAGCACCAGCAGGCAGTGCAGAATGGGGACCCTCAGATCCTCCTGAGACTTCAACAATCAAGGGCATGCAGGGGGACAGGTGGGTTCTGCTCCAGACTGTGGAAACGTCACATGGGGACCTCGTTTGAGCCCTGCGTAGACAGAGCAGCTACAAAAAGACTGGGTTTTGAAGCTCCTGGGGACATTTGATTTGGATGCTAGCGTTTGTTCCATTAGGTGAGATAATATCAGGATGACTGTGCCAGAAACTGTGTGGTAGGTGGTAGTATGCAGGCAGGGAGCTGTTTCACAACAGACTTCCCGAGGTAGAGAAGTGGTAGGGCCCGCTTTGTAGTGGCTGCCAGTTCTCATGGTATAAACACTCCCGCCACAGCTGATTTTAAACTGCCAATGAGATGTCATTGAACAGAGAAGTGGGAAGAAACAGGCACTACCAAGTCTGGCCCACCACTAGTCCTGGAAGTACTGAAGTAGGGACAGGAGAGACAGTAAGACACAGAGCAGAACTGTGAAAGAATTCAATAAAGATTTATCATGGAAACAAAGCTTTTATAAATAAGGAGGGGAAGAGGGGTTGAAGGGAGGGGAGGGAAAAGGCAAAAAAAAGAATCAAGATATATCATGTAAAGGTACAAATTCCCTGTGACGAATGTTATCATTACATACATCTAAAATGTACCAATAAAATTAATTTTGAAAAAGTACTTACTGAAAATGGGACAAAATATTAATCACGGTAGAATCTGGATGATGCATGTATGGGGGTTTATTACACTATTATTCCCTTTGATTGCACTTGCACATTTTCATAATAAGTAATTTAAAACTATGATCATTTTATATAGGAAAGAAACTTTTATCCCAAGAACTCTAGGGGTACACATTGTGCCTGGACCCCCGCTCTAACCCAACAGTACCCAGCTATCTGAAAGCCAACGGCAGGAACCACAAGCATTGCCAGGCCAGGCCTAAGTCTGGATCCTCAGGAGGCCACAACCAGTTTTCCAGAGGCCAATGCTAAGCACAGGGCAGAGAGCCCATAAAAGAAGCAGAGATGAGGTCCTGCCTGGAAGTCCTGTGATGCCATCTGCTAACTCTGATCTGGGGCACCTTCCTCCATCTCTTTGAGTCTCTGTTTACTGAAGGATACTAACAACTGCTGGTGAGGAGGAGATGCAGTACACAGGCACAGCCTCGGTCCTAGCTGCTTGTCCTTCCCACGGGGCTCGGTCAGGTGCTGCAAGCACAGGACTGAGCTGCAAGAACTGTGGCCTAAGGGCATGGGCCCTCTTGTTCATGGAGGAAGGTAGGTCCTGTTTGCCAAATGTCACCTTTTTTCAAGAGAAACTGGGGCTCCAGCTCCTTCTATAAAATCTCCCAATGGTGAAATGTTGTCAACAAATCCATATATTTGAAAACACTGGGCAGGCCAAGCAAAACAACTGCAGACCAGGCCTGGGCAACTTCTGCTTAACCACAGAACTGACAGGCTCACCATTTGTTGAAACCAGCCCGTACTCTGAAGGCTTCACACATGCTATGCCTTGACATTCCACATCTCTAATGAGCCCCCTGTACAGATGAGGAAACCAAGGCTCAGACAGACAAGGAGAGCTGATAGGACTGGAAACAAATACAGGTCTTTCCAAGAACTTGATGTGCCGCTTTGAGGCTCCTCCAGATTCTCCGGCCCAGAGAAGGGCCACACAAACACAAACCAACCAGTTTTCCCACTCGCTTCCTGCTGAGTCCACCCCACCCCCTCGGCCGGTAGGCAGGCAGCTCAGAGGGGACAGCTGTCAGATCTGCCCAGCCACACCTGGGACAGTGCAGGTCATGGTGGCAGGGAAAGAACCTCACCTTTCATCTCCTTGAAATAGCATGTGCCAGCATAAAAATATTCTAGACCCCAAGCCTAGGTCCTTGGTTTCCCTACTTCAAAACTGGGGGAGCTGGACTAAAACTCCCAGGCAGTTGCTTTGCAGACGCTCCCTGACCAGGAGCTCCAGGACTGCACTGGAGACAGGTCCAGCCACATTGCTGTGAACCCACTCCCTGAGAGCTGGTGGGAATTTAGACAAACGGAATGCAATTCTTTCTGATTAAAAGCGGGCTGAGGGCTAAATATGTAGCTCAGTGGTGCAGTGTGTGATTGGCATGCGTGAGACCCTGGATTTGATCCCAGCACCGAAAACGAATAGATATTAAAAAAAAAAAAAAAAAAAAAAAAGTGGCCAGGCTTCTCTTCCTCCATGAATTTTCCTAGTTGTAAGAAAAGAGAACTCACTCCCAAATGGGCTGCCCAGAAAGTTGAAAAATGGGTCCCTTTAGGAAAGATGTGCTCACATTCCATTATGGGTGGGGCACTTAACGCCGGGGCACAAAGAAGTCTCCAGAGAGGAGTGGCTTGACCTCAGGCCTTGAGGCCTGACCGTAATTTCTAGGAGCCTACAGAAACCCCACATGCCTCCCACCCTGGCCTGAACACTGATCCTCACAGGTGGAAAGCTCTTGACTATTGACCAGGGAGGGCAGTGACCATTCGCAAATCCTGGCTGGGCCATTTACAGAGCATTCATTTACCCCCGTGTCTCCATTTCCCCATACAAAATGGGAATCACTCATGTACCAGGACTGTTGGTATTTCTCATAGCACTTTAAAACAGCATCTGGGCATTGCCATTTGTAAATGAAATTAATACTAATATCTATTTCCGTTCGCTGTGACCAGGATTAAAGGGTCAATAGAGGGCTGGGGAGGTGGCCTCAGGGACAGGCACTTGCCTCATATGCTGAGGTCCTGGGATGGATTCCCAGCATGCAAAACCAGTAAGAACATGAGAAGCAGCAAAGCCCTTGGAACCAGGACCTGCACACGGGAGGTACCCACTATGCCTTATTCCTGATATTAAACAGCTATTGGCAATGGAACTTTTTAATTAATTTGTATTTATATCTTCACAGTTTCATTGTTCTTGAAAGTTAGAAGCGCACACTTCCTCCGTGAGACTTTCTCATTACGACTTTCCACTCACTCAGACCAAAGGGCCCTTCCTCTCCCTTATCACAGATCAGGGTGAGCCTTTCTGGCCAGGGCTCTGTCCACCATGGTTTTAGAGGGCATGGCACAGCACCCCAGGAGAAGGAGAAGGTGAGCCAGAGACTAGGTCGTTCCCATCTGACAGACGCAGATCCTGAAGGTCATGCAGCTTGCCCAAGTCATGCATATATTTGAGGACAGGAGCTCACACACCCAAACTCCCGAGTCCCTGAGTTGTGTTCCACTTCCTTTAGGCAAATCACTTTCTCTCATAAAATGGGGGAAATAACAGCAGCTGCTTCCTAGATTTGTTGCAAGTCTTGAATAAGTGAGAGCATGCAAAGCACTCAGAGCAAATCCTGGCACATGGGGCTCCATATTTGGGCAGAACAATATATCCTAGGTTGCCTGGTACAGTCCTGGTTTATGCCTGATCCCTCAGCAAACCTTCCAACTAGGTTCCTCTATCACTTTTAAAAGGAATTTGGAAGAAATTTGCTCTGGAAGAAAATTATATGGCCACCTTAAAATAATTGCCTGCTACAGTTTAAATTATTATTATTATTTTCTGCCATACCACACTGAGTCTCCAGGAAGTGAATAGTTCGGCTGAAAATAGCTAAGTAAATCAGTACCACCCTCAGATCCAGGTGAGAGTGGTCCCCACCCTTGGAACCCTACAGCGGCTCTCCTATAACTAACTTATCACATGGAAGCCATGGGGCTGAGGGATGCACCCACTCTGAGCCTGGGTCTCCTCCACTGGGTCACACCATGGACATCCAGGGCCTAGGATTCCATACACAGCCCTGCACCTACTTCCAGGTCATGAGAACAGACTGTACCACTGGGGTGATCAGCTCAAAGGCTAAGGGGACCAAGGGGCAGATCTCAAGGTGAGTAGAGGCTTAGGTGGGGGACAGAGCTTGCATAGGCAGGCTGAGATGTTCACAAGTGTGCATACAACCACGTGGAGGGCTGGACAGAGAAGGACTGGGAAGGGTGGGGGACAAGCCAGGGACTAGGGGACCCTCTTCCTGTATCAGCATGTTCCAGCACAGGGTCCCAGGAGTCAGTGAAGTCTACATCCAAAGCACGTCTTTCATGTTGTTAAGAAAGCATATTTGTCAAAGTAGAAAGGTAGAACATATTTTATTTCACATTTTGTTAGCTTGATTTATAACCTGCAAATATTTAGACATATGGTACGTGAACTTCCATCTGTACTCTGCTGAGTTCCACAAATCCCTGCCACCTTCTGCCCGGTCTCACTGCCAAATGTTTACTGAGCCCCTCCTCCATGCAGAGCCCCAGTGACTCCTCCGACAGGCGGGCACCATCCCAGCACCCAACGTGATCAACTCTAGGCCAGCCAAGCTCATGCCCAGAAAACAGGACCGTGGACTTGGGGGTGAGGACACAGGCCTGGTCCTTGCCTCTGTCCCCAGCCCCTCTCTGGGATTTCATTTCCCCATTTAGAGAAGAGGCTCCTCTCACTCTGCAGGATGCAACCTGAAGCAGAGTGAAGAGAGACTGGAATTAGGTCAGTGACCTGGCCAGGGTGTGGCTGGTCCTGGGCAGATACCTGTCCCGGTGTGGACTTGAGCTCGAAGGCCAGGGCCCTTGCAGCCTATTGCATGTCATTCTTCCTCCCACAAGCATGGCAGCCACCCATACAGTGTCAGGCACGGAGCAAGGGGCTGGCTCTGCCTGGTGTGGGAGGATAAATAAAACACCACAGAAAGCTGAAACACAAAGCAAGACTTGGCAACTGTGCTGCTAAGAGACCTTCCCTAGGCACCTTCCATCTTCCCAACCCCAGCATGATAAGTCGGCTACAAAAGGTACGGAGCTTATTCGAAACCTTGCTGCTTCAGGCGCGGCCAGAACTTGTGGCTAGCCAGACGAAAGGTTTCGGGTTCCCGAAGTCTCAGGACACTGCCCCAAGCTGCCCGAAGGTAGGAGGCCCCGTCCAGCTCCCGGAAGGCTGAAGGGAGGTGAGCGCCAGGGAGGGCCGGGCCACAG